TATGTCTCTTATTCAGGTGCTTCACTTGCGGGTAGCGAGTTGCACAGTTTTATTCCGATGGTTAAAAAATCTGACCCATTAAATAGTTAGCCATTGTCTATCCCGAGTGTATAGAGAGTAAGGTATAGAACCCCATTCCCAGACAGTTTCACTCATGGTAGCACTAGATAGATTACCGTTAATCTCTCAACGTAGCCATCGTGCTGACATCCGTTTGCACTTTCCTTTAGCATCGGAACTATAAGAAGGTATCGAGTAAGATCACCCTATATGGTCTGTGCCCATCGATGTATTCGAAGCATTACCCGAGTCTGTTTGGAACACCGAGTCAACATTACTGAAGTACGTCGAGTGGTATTCGGAAGGTATAACTCACCCTCGATAGATGAGCTGATCACACTGCATAGGTTGCGCTGGCTTGGCGACGTGCCGTATATGCCAGTCGACCAACTTCCTCGAAGGGTTCTTTTCGCACAACCACGTAAAGGGTGGAGACAAGCCAGAGGTGGTCAAACAATGACTTGCTAGTGAAGTATAAAAGTCATTATCAGCAAACTCAGTTGCGCTGGTCATCGCCGTCTTCCTGGATAGGGACCCCGAAACGGGCCACATCAACTGTTAGAGACATTATCAGATCTTGAGATATTGAAGGTACGAATGTTGGCTAACTGCCTCTAGTTGGTCCCCTTGGTGACTGTTTCCAAAACACGTACTCTTCATTAGCGAATATACACTCAGTTGCAAACTAATTTTGTCTTTTGAGAGACTCACCCGGAACCCAGCTGAATCTCTCGTTTGTGATGTTTTCGACGGATTTTCAGCAACTTTATGAGTAGTACATTACAAAGACGTACCCTTCATATTTCTAAAACCTGCGATACCATAACACCTGACCACTGTATGACGAAGGGTGTCATAAAGTGTGAAATAAATTTCCTTTTACTGCTTTCAGAAGGCAGCTGGATAGCAATGTACCCAGCCAAACACAGGATGCTCTATGGGCCTATTTCTAGAGGCCAATAGACACCGTTTGTATATCCTATTCAGCTCCGTTATTGGACAAATGCAATACAACCGAGATTTAATGACCCCCTACAGCTTTGTATAGCCTCTTTGAGGAATCACTTGTATATATTCAATTGACTTGTCTTACAGAGAGGTTTGCTCCGAGGTTCGTTTATCCCCGCATATGTGGACGGACAGTGGATAACCCTAGTGCTAAGTTATCAGCCTCAGGGAGTGCCTGTGTATTGTGTGAGCTCGGGCTCCTTTGGAAGTCGAGTGACAAGATTTACCTACGCTTACAAATGTCAAAGTAAAGCAAATCCCATAGAAAAAATACCGAAAGCTTGTTGGTGCTGTATACACAGGCTCAAGCGTGTGTATTTTGGATCAGCGGATGATCGGTTAAGATAGCGTGCTTTGAAGTAACCAGTCGACAACGCTGGACTGTGGTAAAGCGGATTGATTCGAAGTGTTGCTAATATTCATTTTGTAGCCGGTCATATGTTTTCAAATTGCGATACCGAGCCACCGTGTTAGCGCGGTCCTGACGAAATGAATCACGAGTGATATTGGGAAAAAATCTCCAGTTGGGAAAGCAGTCCATTTACAAGCAGTGTTTTGGTCTCGGGTTGTGCTTGTCATCTGTCCGATTCAGCGAGTCTCTTGACGACAAACACTTGGGAGAACAAAATGTCTTTGATGTGGTTGCCTGATGGGTTTTTCCGGATGTGAACTCTACTTCTGATTATGTCTACTCTGCTATGGTTGCTCTGACTGTGCACCACTTGTTTATAGTGTCGCAACTAATGGCTTTCTGTGTCAGAAAAGGGTATAATGAACAGCCATTCACTAGAAATGTTTCGATCAGAAAAGGCGCTTCTCATACGGGGTGATTTGTTACCGCTTACATATTTGCTCTATGTGGACACGTTTCAAGTTTTATTACACCACTTAGGACAAGCACACCAAAAGAGCATTTGTGACCTCTACTTTTCAGAATTATCTTTGGTTTTGTGTGCATGAAATTTTTGCACCGGACTTGTCTCGCTTGAATAGTTCCTTCATACAGTTAGTCCCTCGCGAATTCTGGTCACGCTTGAGAGGACGAACCAAATGACATTCGTTAGTGTGACTGGGGTTGTCTTCTACGCATCCTCTTTGTAAACATCACGCCAACTAAGCACGAGGCAGCATCGGACTGTTCTTTGTCGTAATTTGAACGGTTATACGAAGCAGACCGTGTATTGCGTTCCGTCTCACATCCACTGTATAATGGACTGTTGGTAAATGTTCAATTTCAATCTTGTTGTTTATTGAAAATCATGGCCCATGACCCTCAGTTCAGTTCATACTATCATAACTTACTTTTGTGTAGCTCTGAGCTATTCCACTGGGGTGTAGTTTAACTGCTGCAATCCCTTTTCGGTGTCTGCTCACTGTACTGATGCTCGAATCTCTCTCTTCGCTCCTTGTTGTTATCTTGTCTCGCGAGAGCTCGAATCTAGTGACCGGAATATCCTTAGTTCAAAGTTACCCTGGCTTTTTGATTGCCCCTTATTAGGCATGGGCAGCGTGGCAGTTTGTTTGCCCTCGTGCGTCCGAGTTGCACGGCAGTTTTGCACTGAAATGTAGTTATTGTTATCCCTACCATCAGCTTTGCTGCTCGTCGTTATGTATGGTGAGGCTTCAGGTTAAACATTAGAAAAACCGTTTTTATTGTCCATCTTCCGGCCGTTGAAAACTGTTTTTTGATCTTCGGGGCGATCAGTTGGCTGCTTATGGCGTTTAGGGCATACTGTGAGTGGGTCAACAAACTGATGCATAAATGAACAAAGAAGCCTAAGCAACTTTATTCAGCAAGCATGGCGGAGGTACTAGAAGTTTTATTGGAATGAATTCTGTTGTTAAAGCCCTCTTGAACAAAGCACCTTGACAGGATACTGTCCACCTTAAAAACATTTTTATGGGATGGGGGGTGGGACAACAATGTAATATGTACTTGTCAGGATGGTTGACGACTCACACTGTCGATTATTATTATATTTTGTATGCAGTCTGTACCCGAACTTGATCAGCTGGATCATCAGATTTATCGTGAGTCGCTATATGTGCATCTGAATGGAATTCTGTCAAATGCTTGCACTGTCACGAAGGGATCCCCTTAAGAATCCGTTTTACCACCTATATTGTTTCCTTATGCTATATCAACAGCGCTTTTCCATATTTTGTCTCCGGCATCCATACAGTTTCTGGCAATACGCCTCTACGTCGTCCATCCCGGTGTTCTGCTTCCCTACGGCTTCGTGACAACCATGTGCAGGCCATCGATCTTGCTAAAATCACTCACCTAGGTCCAAACACACGTTTGATCTCTGCAAACCTTCGTTTGTGTATTATGCCTCTGGGTTTCAGCTTTGTTTGTCCCCTGACTGTATTCTTCATCCTCCACCATGCTTTTTCCGCCCGCTAATGCGAAATCCTTTACGAAGAGTGCTTCCGATAAACCACGATTAGCTGTAAGAACCGCGTACTTGCTATACAGTGGTTAGAACGGCCTCAGTTTCTTTCACCGATGATTTGGGGCGATAGGATGAGTAGCTGCTCATTGGTGACGGTAGCTGATGTATTTGTTGTGTAAATACAGGGTTGTCAGTGGACTGTCAAGTGGGGGTTGGGAAGGGATCTATGCATTGGAGGCAATAGTTTGGATGCACAAGAGCCATCGAGGGCGCGGCTGGGCCATATCTAACAGTGTCTCTAACCATTGATGTGTCCCGTCTCGGGGTCCTTATCCAGGCAAACGGCAAGGATCAGTGCAACTGAGTTTGCTGGCAGTGGTCTTTAGACTTCGCTGCCAGATCATTGTTTGACCATCCAATAAAGTTCGCTTTCCTTTCAATTCCCGAGGCGCTTCACACCCTAAGTCTGATTTCCCTCCATTATATAGTTATTCTGTTATGTTTGGAATGGGCTTTGCGTCTCTCAGACCAAACCCATAATGAGGTCACCTGTTTCCGTGCCAAGCTCACCAACCATTAGATGCTAACCCTTATCCCTTCTTCGACAAGTAACTTCCGTAACCTGCCACGGCTACAACTGAAGGTGCTCTTATGGGATAGCCCTTCTTAAACTTTCAGTCGCACTACTTACCTCTGTGTCACCTGTAATATCTAACGTCTTAGGATTCGTGTTAACATACGTTTCAACAAGTCAATCTACATGTGATTTGTCTCCATATCGCTTGGCATTTTTATTTTCACTTTATTCAGATGTCTCCAATAATTCAATTCGCCTTCCTCTGTTACCCCTACAGCGATGTGTAATTGAAAAGTTGACTTATAAGACACCTGTGACCTACTTGTGGGTCTCAAGCTAATCTATCTCGGAAAAAATCTCTCAACGTACTTGTCTGCATACTGAATCATAGATTATTTGTGTGTTCCATTGTTCTTAAAACATTCCTCATCATTAACGAGGAATTTAGAGACTGTTAGGTTTGGGTCGAGTTACTTTCTTCCCACGATTTATGGTTGACTATCGCATGATGGCTCGGTGGTTAGAACGGAAGGTCCATCGGGACTTCCCCTGTCTAGGCTTGGGCAACCTGGCAGTATCCTATTTCTCATGCATGACAGGTAGGCACAGAAAGGGTGCTATAGGCGAACGTTTAATTTTTTTCTATCATGAAGCGTCAATTTTCACCTCACTTTAACTAAGGATCCCACACATGTTTTTAAACTGGTCTGCCACCAACTGCATCAGACAGGCCGTTTTGAAAGCATTCTCACACTCGGTTTCCGTACCGCTCATATTTGATCAGTAACGACTGAGGAGAAACTCCTACGCATCATGCGGTGTGTGGCTTTAGGCTAGCTGTTCGTTCTTTGAACTCACTCGATGTAAACTACTTAAATGACTCGGTTAACCTTCAGTGAATTTTGAAATTTGGCCGGGACCTATATAACTTTTGTGCTCCTCTCTTGTCCACTATTTAGCTGGGACCTGAGCACCGAACATTCCAAATCAACAACTTGGACCCTTGGGTCAACTATACCATATACCTGGCAGCCGTCAATTGTCGTGGGGAAGGAGTGCGTTCTTTACCAATTGTTGTATTCCCTTTTCCCACTCGACCTTCACGGGAGCACGGTAAAAGTGGCTCCCCATTCCAAACAGATTCCACTCATGTACCAGTTGGTGATCACTCACTGAATTATCCACTTTATCGTCGTGTAATATTTGACGGACGAGAAGCAGTTCCTGAACACTCTCGTAGCCAGCGACTCGATGTTTCTGGTAATTCTGAGTATGACTTACAAGCCAACAGAGAAGCAACTGGTGACAGCTTGACTCGTGAGCCTTGGTTTGTGGTCAGCGTGATAGCATTTGTTCTATTGTGGGTCCTGATTGTTCTTGGACTGATCTTGTATGGACGTCACCGGAGTCGACAGCAACGGCGTCGCGCGGAACGCGGTGATTTAGGCATTGTCACAAAGAATGGGCGTCTCGTCGCTTCGCCAGATATGTACGGACCGGCATTCGTTCCCTCCTCATGGCCATCCAGCGCTGCCCCAGAATCACATCCACTCGTGTCGGCCTTTGATACCAACTACTATGCTGGGGAGAAGTCTGTAATGGAAAATGCCTACTCTGCATTACTGAATCCTGCAGCACCGGGCCTCCTACCTGGCATGGCATTTGCAGCATCGCCAATGGTCAATGGGAACAATACTCACCTGGGTCCTTCTTACTGTCACAACTCTAAAAGTTATACACTCGGACAACCGAATACGGCTTATGTGACTTCGAACAGCATTCCTGCAAATGTTCCCAACGTTGCGTCATCCGGTGAGTTCTGGTTTGTTTACCTTGGTCCTCCAGATTTCCGATCACCCTTTTTAGACCGTAAATAGGCTTGGCATATGTGGTTCATATTTTGTGCCATGTTCGTCAGTCTGTATTCACAAACTCACATATCGGGCTTCACTTGAGAAAATTTTACGGGGCTTATCCGTCATCCTCCCTTTTATGATAGTCAGATTTGCAAGGTTTTCGGTCACAGAATAAATCGGGTATTTTGTTAGGGAATACTTTTCTTCAACCTTAATCCAAAACATGGGTTATACTGAACACAGTGCATTCATTCTCCAGTTTTGTGGAGAGGGGCAAAATTATCGTTGGTCTTTCTGTAACGAAGTGGCGGATGTGTGGATTCAAACGTCGAGAAAATTATCTTCATTTTGTATCATACGCTATATATATATATATATATATATAATACTGTAAATGCTTTTTTGCATTAAGTCGCGCCCCTTAAGATAGCCCTAATGGGTAATGCAATTCCACTTCACATAGGCTTAGACCAAGTAGATCATTAGTGCCAGCACGGAAGACGAGCAACGGCGTCTTAGTGAACACAGCTTCGTCGCTAGCGAAATATGTGCCAACTGGTCTTGTGTACCTGACCAACATCCATTAACCTCTTTTGTTTACTAGCTGCAATGGAAAGTTGGTCAGTTGTCTTTCGATACCACCGGTTTTATTGCCTCCTGAATCGACCGCTGAAACGGATGAGACAGAATCGTGACGAGCATCACTTAACAAGCAGATTTACTGAACCGATACATAGTAGACGTCTGCTGGGTTGTCAGGTTGTCCCGTGTGTTTCAATGTTTCGTCCGTATTTCGCAGTCTTCTCTCAGAATGCCAAATACCAATGTTTAACGGTATTCACATTTACGTCTGAAACCAATTACAGTCAGTGCAGACAGCTGTGAAGATCTTCGCCTGTACTACCTCTCTGACAAGAATAGTAACACTGAAGCCCATCATCTAGTGCTTGCTGCCGATAAGTTAGGTAGCCTCGGCCATAAAGATCGAGATTGATTTTGTCGAGGTTAGCCAGAAATTCTCGGGTTTAGTCGGTAAGTGTGTTGTTTCCTGATCAACTTCTTCCTACGTTGTGCACCATGTCAAGGTACATAATACATACTGTTTTTCAAGGACGACCTACCAAATAAAGATCTAGGGTTTTGCTCCAGTGCGTCTATCGGTCTTATGTTATTACTGCATGTCTTCAGGTCCACTCCTGCTTCTGTTTAGTGTGCTCGCATAAAAAAAAACACGAATAAACACCTGGCTGCCAGGTTTGTTGTGCAGCTCTCAGGAACATACTTGTTCGTCTTTTCGACATCTGGCATTCCCTCAGGTCGAGTGTGCGTGACGAGTCCATGGTATCGTGGTCACCGACCGGTAACCATTATTACTCTACCCCCTTATGTCGTTGTACCACGGTGCTTTCATGCTTTCATGAAAAACAAACAGAAGAAAGGATGATTGGCCGCAATTTTCAGCTGATCTGTCTTTTCGTTCTCATCTTATCCCACACAGGTTCAATGGCCTAGCCCATCTCTTCAAGGGGATTATGTACGCGTTTGTAAGAAATACGATACTGAACTATATTCGCCATACCACTTCCAATGCCTACGCGTTCCTCTGTAATTTATGAAGAAGCCATCCTAGTTCCATTGAGGTGTTTTCCAACCTAAACACAGGTGGCTAAAATTGATAGTATCCTTGCGAAGCTTTCTCTTTCATGTTCACTTCCTCATTATATTTAGTGAACAGTCAATGGCGTGACTTCCTTCTACTTTGAAACGATTATCTCACTTAACCGACACTTGACCAGGTATTCTGGAGTTAATATTTTCACTGGCAAGCTGCCAGCTTTTTAACACTTAGCTACATCAGTGATCTTCTATGACAATATTTCCGAATGGGTATCAGTTACAACTCTTAGCCCTTTCATTGCGTCGTGTTGCTGTCCCGGTCCTTGTCTTGCCAGGCATGGCTCTTTGGCTTTGCAACTATCGGATAAATAGCTGCGCTGTCCTATCCGAGATTCACTGATTAGTGTTTCTGTGAAGTTGGCTTGAGTTTTTCCACGCGCATTTTTCCATTTTTATAAAAACGTGGCAAAAAACATTTTCGCCGTCAATATGTGTTTAATTTTTTAGCTATCTAGTTGTTCATCTCATCCGTACTATTAATTAATCCGATGAGTTGAAGCTGCTTTGACCTATTTTCAGGTGTTGTTCCACCAGGTAGCTTGGATGGCATTATCTTGCTCTCCAATACATTTTGGTGTACTAGATCATCTTGACAGGATTTAGTCTGTGTTTGCACCTGGAACGGCTTTGTGGTTGGGTCTCAGTGGGTATGGATTTGCTTCAACAGTTACTACTGCTGTCGAAAATCTAATCACAGGCACTTAGATTCGACTGGAATCAAAGATTTAAAACTTAATGCCATTCGGTGTGGTTGGACATTAAGACGTATCAAAAGATCATTCCACTGATCTGGGGACTGTTCCTGTCCTTCATTGGGGAAACTCAATAGCTCAGAGAGTAAAGCAGTGACCATGTCTGTGACCCAGTCCAACATTTCCAGTTGGTCCCACGTAGGCATAAAAGACCAAGCGTACAATCTGTGCAGGTTGCATGGCAAGTCAACTTTTACCATTCCTCCTAGGAACACTTAATGGTAGGAAATTTCCTGCCTGTTCTTTTCCACCAGGTGATTTAAATTCTCCATTTCACACTCTACCGCGTTCGTACATACTTCTTTTAAGTGCGATGAAAATCCTTTCATCTGGCGTAATACCTCTTGGGGTCGTTACTGCTGTCAGTAATTCTGTATTTGGTCAGTGTGTATATGAACTTTTGTTCAGGTAGGAGATGCAACAATACGCGACCGAGCGAGTTGCCACCAGCTTTTCGGAAAATGTGGTAAACAGTCGGTAGACTTACCGTTGGATAACGTTTGACTTTTAACTCCAAGGCTACCGGTCTTCTTGTCATATTTTTATACTTTTCAAACGTCAGTCAGACATCTATGCCATCCGACTGCAAGTGACGTTCTACTGTGGCACATACTGTCGCCCCGACTGCCTATCCACCGTTAAATTTACGAGTCATCACATGATCATTTATTATTCCAACGGCCAGTTAGTTGCTGTGTGACTCACCGTCGATAGGAATTGAACAAAGATACAGGCAAACCAGATTAAATTCATCCACTTGTTCGACCCATTGACCTTACGGATTCACATATGTTTGCAGTCGGGACCTCCCCTGCTTTGCTCTTGTTCCATGTGGTGGTTGTGAACAGATAACTGAAGACGCTGGTTGTTGACATAAGCTAAACCGTACAGTATCTGAACGTATCGCTACTCATAAAACCACATAAACCTTAGGGGAATTGTCTATTCACCGCATTCCATCTGTCTGACTTCTTGGTCCAAACATGAATCAACCTATCGGGCTCCGTGAGATCCATTATGTCATCCCATAACTGTGGACACTTCCTTATGTGAAGTTTACCAAAGCAACTTCTGTTGTCAGTGTTTGTCGCGAAGTTATTGATCCTATTTTAACACTAGGGGTTCCACGTTTTTTCTCGCCACTTATAAACTTCCGGTGTTATTAACTCTTGCTGATAAATTATCGGCCTGTTTGTTCACGACCGACCCTCCCGTGACGTCCATTCTCCGTTTCTCGTAATTCGCCCGAATAGGCGTACTCGTTTAGTTTTTCTCTTCGAGTCATGCCAGTTGCCGCTTCAGACTATGACAAAGACGGTCGATTTCACCACGAACACGGGTGTTCTGTCATCGCTGACACTGGCTGCAATAAACTGTTTGGGGACCTGCCGAAGGTACGGAATTGCTGTGTTCATTACGCAAATAGCTGCAGCAGAAACGGGCAAGCGAACGAAGCAGACAGGGTTGGCGCCATGTCACAACTTAGAAAATGTGGGTGTTGTCTCAACGATCATCACTAGTGAATGAGTTCAGAATCTGTTCTGGCGTGAAGGCTGTTTACATCTGAAGCAACATAGCTTTTTTGACTAATGGACGTGATCCATCAACCACGGCGCTATAAGGGACTACTCCACGTCTCTACTCCTGAACAACTCACGAGTTTTTATTTTGTTCGAACATCTTTCGAACAAATAATGTTGTAATCATTTTTTGGTAGAATATTTGACAAAGCAATGCGTTTGAGTCAGAGAAGTTATTACAACTTTGACCAGAGAGAGAAACTTAGTTAAGGAGCACCAGAACTGATTTTTGTGTTGAAGTGTTGTTTGATGAGGTAACAGCAAACTTCGGACATGTTTGTCCAACTAACCAGATCATTTTAAGTTGATAAACACCAGCAGAATTTAAACCTGAGTGAAGATTTTTGTGTGTTTGTCGTTGGATGTAGCTTAGTGTCACCCGGTCTCCATTATTTGCGTGACAGACTGTCCGGTTTTTTGGTAGTTGAAGAAATTCAGCTCACTCCGACGTTGTTCTCTATCGATAGCTTCGAAAGTATGCTTCAGCCTTTTCTAGTCTCCCTTGTATTCACATCAGTCCTATGTCTTTCTATTGACGGTTTTTTGTGGTGTGTAGAATAGTCTGCGTAGACTTGTCACAAGTTTGGAAAACAGCGTATTAGGGTAAGATGTTATTCCACTACACTGTGTTTTGACTTTAAAAGTTTCCATCGTATACACCTCGTCGCGCTCAATCTTTTTGACAATATCTGAGCCGAGATTGGCCCGGAACTCTTAAGCCTTGTCACGATTTTCTATTGAACGTTTATTTAAAAACGCTAACAGGTGATCCTCTTCGCACCCGAGTGCCTCGCTATCTTACACTGGGCTTCCTAACAACTGGAAAATACCACTAGTTTATGCGCGTACTTAAGCAGTTTTTCTTACCTGCATATCTCTGCGACACAAGCGACAGAGCATTCTGGTTTGTTTTACACAGACTGCGTACACAAGCTGTCAACCACATATGTGCATGGTACTTCACTGAATGTTCATGCGGGTCTTTGGGTCTTTGTCCGGCTATGGGCGGTGAAAGAACGTCCCAGGACTTCTAATAGGTTTCAAATTACGGTCCGTGGTGCACGCCAACGCTAGCCAGAAAGACGAATCCGTTGAGTTACTTGGTGCATTCTCGCCACGTCGCTCAACTGCGTATCCTTACGTATTAGTAGTGTAAACCGGAATTCACTCACTTGATAGCCTTGATCCTTCGTTTTCTTAGTAACTGGAATTCGTGGCCAACTCAGCTGTTGAATCAGTTTGGTTTAGAGCAATCCAATTAAATGTTTTTTGTTCTTCAGCTCTGAGGTTGTCTTTCAAGGTTTTTCACTGGTCTGTGGCGGGATTTTGACCTAGCACAGCTGCGTTGTGCACCCAATAATGCCCAAAAACAGCGCTTGTTTTTTTCGTTTCCTTCTGGCACTCCACTTTACGTGCAGCTGGATAAAACTCTGGAATTTGCCTGTCCGTAAAATACACCTCTTTGTGTCAGTTAGTTGTACCAGTTCTGTCCTCCCATGTTTAATAGGACGGGCCTCGGAACACCTGCGTGCCCTGACACAGATATGACGGAGCAATCGCTTCCCCCTACTTGGTCCACATCTTTTTCCTCTGCTTGTTACTTTGGCAAATTGGAGTAAACTTGATGTTGGACTACTGTGTCTGCCAACCTCACTCACTCAGAAACAATGGTCTTGTCACCCAAACCACTACCATCTCTAGTTGGACGCACATAACCCACTCGTCTGGCTATGTGAACACTTCCATCGACATCACATGTTGACCGATAGTCAATAAACTTTTTCAGTCAAATTTTCCCTTTCTAGATCGCCACCCATCCAGGAAGCTGATGGTAGTAGGACAAGTAGGACACCTTTCGCCCACTACTGCATTGTTTCATTCGACACGACACATACGTGCAAAGACGGACTAACAGATGATTCCACCAGTTCGTCCGGACTCCATCACACCATTGCAGCTTCCGGTGGCGAACAACTGAAGTTCAAATGTGAAGTGCGGTTTTTTTAACTCGTTCCGATCACAGACTCCTAACACTTGCACTTCACATAAATCGAGAGTACAAACCATTGTCTGTTTCTCGTACTTCTGGTCGCTGTGGTCTCTGCTATCCGCATCCGAGCTACCGCTACTCCAGATGCTTCACATAAATCAACATTTATGCGACATGCATTCAACCGTGGGAAGTCGGCACTGTCCGGCCGCAGTTAGATGTGCAGGCCAACAGCCGTGTTCGTCTGTTCACAGCATGATTGTTTGGTTCCTGGTCCTGAATTGTTTATTAAGCGCACTGCTTCCTCACGGCCAGGACCTTTCGGCTAATAGCTAGGTGTGCTTCAAATGCATCGATGCTTCATGGGTGCCACGTTTACTAGAATTTTATGGTTGATGACTTACAAGTAAAAGTGCTGCCTTATTTTAGATAGCCTCGGGTAAATTGGGCGTTCTCACTGAAGTATCGTCCCTGTTCATATTTCGAGTAACTTTTGTTTACTACCCGTATCCATTAAAAAACAAGTCAATATGATTGATTCTACGGTTGATCACTTGTGGTTCGTATGTTACGGCATCGGCTACCTTGGTTTTCCTCGTGGTAATTGGTAGACTAGGTGCTCTAACGCTCCGATCGATGATAGTGCCTTCTTGAAAAAAGTGAGCTCCAATGTGTTAACTAGTTTACCGTTTGATACACACTTTGGACGTCTGACGATGAAGCTTTGTTCGTACACAACACACGTTCTTCAAACTAAATAGGATTTTTGTCGACTGTTTCAAACTATAGGAAGTAATCGACCGAAGACGGAGTTGCTTGTATGTAGCGACAGATATACCAGATAGTTGTTATTGCATCATGATGCAAGGCACTATTCGCACCTATCTTGGTAATTAATGCGTTTTTGCTAACCTGCTTATGCCCTTAGCAAGAAGTCAGTCAATCAAAGCTCGTTTGTCCATCCTAGGTGCTGGTAAGGCTCTTATGGTTATACACCCATGGGTGTGGGGTTCATTGACTATCTGGATTAAGCAATATTCATCGGTAGTCGATTGGTCGTTTTAATAAGTCAACAACTAACACGAGAGTCACTTAAAACTGGCTGATCCTACTAATGAACGAGATTCATACAGAAGATTAGCTTTCTTCCTTTTTTTGACCGTTACTAGGAGAATGAGTACTACCATATCCGGTGTGGGGATGACTGCAAGAGTCTCGAATCTGTGCATCCATCAATGACCCATGACAAGGCAGCCCAGTTTCTGACCCCGTCAACGAAGCCCATAAACACAATGTTAACCCAGGCAGTCAACGTCGACCTTCGTGGTCTTTGTCCGTATCTTCAGCTGTCGTGCTAGCTGGTAGCGCCATCCTACACACAGCGCACTGTTTGTTAAGCAAGCCCAATATATGCACGGACCAGTGTAGATGTCGTTGAATGAACAGCCTGATCGGTGTTAATTTGGACAGACCGCGCATCAAATTAAAAATACGCCGATCCTCGTGGAGTATTGTCAAGAGGCGAGATTTGGTCTTGTTACTCATTTAATGCATATGTGAAGAAGGACTGTGTTGCTGAGTTTGGGGCAGTGGGGAAAAGGGTCGAAGATTTGTTAACCACTGTGTTCGATTTTAGCTGTGAAGCTTTTTCAGTTGTTAGTAGGCTTGCGTTCGACTCAGCCCTTCCACGCACTGATCTGAATTTTTTTAAAATATTATGACAGCATGAATTTTGCCGAGTTTTGTGCCGTCGCAAGTGGTCCCTTGGTAAATAGAAGATCTTAGGTATTGTTTTGCTCACACGACCCAAAAAGACAGCATAACGTTGCGTTCATCCAGGTTCACGTGACCAGGGTGCATATTTTGGGTATTTATTACTGCAACTTTGAATTTTCGGTATCGATTTATGCTACCATTTTGGCATCCGTGTGTACGTCCGGCTATTGAGGCGTTTGTTCGAAATAGAACGATTCCGCTAGGGTCAAAGTCGCAGCGCTTACGTTGATACGAAAAATAGCTTTCGAAACGATCCCCCCATCGCCTGGATTTTTCCCATTATTTGGTTGAAGATAGTTGATCCACACACGAAGAACGGTCATTCTTGCTGAATCGGGTGGCCAATCTGGGAAGAAGATGTAGGTGGTCATATCGTGTCGCGGTTATTTTTGGGTTTCTATTTCCCTGTGCTCCTCTTGAAGAGTGAACACTGAATCAGACTTGTGCATGCTTTTTTTCGCTTTGGTCAGCCACTTGGGAGGGTATCAGTACTATTGTGTCCAGAGAGGAATCAGGATCGTTATGTAGGCCTCGGATGACCCAAATGAGGCTGTTTATGGTACCGAGATACGGTATTTTGACGGGATGACCCAATGAGGCTGTTGTTTATGGTAACCAAAAAACGTATTTTGACGAGAGATCCAATTCGGCCTGTCGCCAACGCCATCCCGCTTTGTAAATGGGGTCTTGCATATATCCAATTTAGTGTTTAACTGTGGACTAGGCCTAGCTGATGAGCAAAACGGGTAGTAAGTGAATAGATGTATTTGTTACTCAGAAAACAATGAGTTTCAAGCGACCTGGGTTTGAAGGCCGGGTTGGTCATATCACTTTCTCACGCCGACGCTTTTTCGATTTTTCTCCGACTAGATATCCACAGGGTTTCCAGAACCGGAATTTAGCATTTATGTCTATTCTTTTCTGGATAACGTGTAAATTTCGAATGTTCCAGGACAGAAGCTACGTTTGAACACGTAGACCCACCAACTTAATAGGTGGTCATACTCTTTCTGCAGAGTCTGGCGATGCAAGAACTTGGCAACAATAGGCCAGTCGTGGAGTCATTACGGATCTGTTGTAGATGATTATTAAACAACTATGTACATTATGTATATTACATCATCATGCGGCATCAAAGGAATAAACTCGGCTTTTCGGTAACCAGACTTTAGATTCTTATGAATTGTGAGTAAGGTCCAGTTGTCCAGAAAATTTATACTGCGATATTTGAGGTCGGATTCTTCAGTAGTGAATGAAGGGGTTTCCATCGCGAAATGAAAAACATGCAGTGAATCTATGTTCCCGTCATTTCACTTGAGTTGTACAAAGAATTTTAATGACACTATGACTGAATACCGGACTGCTCTGCCCTCTGTGCTTCAAAACCAGTATTATTTGTTTTATAATCTTTTAGGTGTTGTCGCAGACTGTCGTGCAACTTGAGAGAAACAAGAACTGAGCTACGCCTAATTTGTAATAGTCTTCGTAAGAGTACGTGCCTAAATATCATGGCAGTATGTGTGGGTTTTTTTTCGCTTGTCGTTTTCGGTCGACCAGAAGCCAGTTTGTGTTCGAAAATAGCGACTATCATGAGTTCCCTTAATGGCGTTTTTTTTGTTGGTTGAACCCATCGTTTAACATACAAATGTGTTGTTCCTATGTTATGAGTTCCCTAATGGCGTTTTTTTTGTTGGTTGAACCCATCGTTTAACATACAAATGTGTTGTTCCTATGTTCATTTCCATGCAAATTTTCGATGTTGTCGTGTTGAAATCACGGAATGTTTTTGCTTGGAAAGATAGGGTAGTCACACTATGTCATCGTGAGCTCTTTGGACACCAGACGTGCCTCTCAGTCCTCAGACAAGCACCTTCCCTACCACTTCTACATTTCCGAACTAACAGTTCCTCCTCTTATGGCATTTTCTGGATAGCCGTTTTCGGTTGATATTGCTCACGCACATCGGCCTGTTACATTTATTGCTCAGCCCATTCATGGCTGGTCATGGGTGCTTCTCCATTGTTGTTGTTTGCAAACACGTATGTCTCTACTTCAGACATTTTCGCCGTTAGGCCTTATCTCTTTGTGCGTACCAACTTTTGTGCATCTCGCTCCTTTAGTCCGCCTATTCACCACCAATTTTGTACATCCATTCACCACCCCACTGGCCCGTTGCAAACAGTTTGGCGTTTTTCGACGTAATGGTACTACTTAGCATTGAATTGTATACATGTATATACATATATAGCCATCTATATGTCCCCTTATATAATGATTTCCCCATCAGAAGGACCGTTTTTCCGCCCCCAAACTCATTTAAATTGAAATACATAAAAACGCGACGTAACACTACCTCCAGAACAAGAAGTTCGACTGTAGGCCCCCTTTGAACAAAATACAACTTGTAAGTTACCACTGATACAAGTCATTAACACCAGGTCACTTCAAAAACAGCTGTTTTGTACAAGCCGACCACAATGTTCCTATATCATCCACTTCAGCGCACCCATTGAATGCTTGTCAGACTGCATTTCTAGAGTAAAAGTAGGCTAATCTTGCTGTGCCTAACCGCTATCCATCATCTATCTATGAACGGGGTGATTGGCCATAACGTGACTTGCATTGTTTCCGCGTGACAACCTATGCCATCCTACCGGATTTACGTGAAGTCTTTCTTTAGACCTTGAATGCAGTTGATACTTCTCCTCCTAGCCCTTGACAAACATGCACCTCAACACTCATCTACGGCATCGTTGTTACACCCCATACTAAGATTAAGGGGCGCATGCTTCGTATCCACGGTATCTGAAGCACCAGATTGGGTTGAGTAAGGTCAGAGAAACAGAAAGTTTGGTAGTGTTTGCTGGGAGCGCTTAGAGGAAATGAACGTAGCACGGCCGCCAGGTAGTTCAAATACAAGTGCTCTAGCTGTTGATCAATGTGGTATTTTGGCAAACGAAATGGAGAACAATGGCATTCGCTGAAGTGAAACTTTTCCGAACGGCTGATGATTTTGCTAACCGACGATTTGATTTACCCACTGTACACCAAATAAACTGGTGTCCGTTACCGCAGAAGTGAATAAATCTTAATGTGCCCTAAGAAGAGCGAAACAACGGCCGGCTGTCGAGGAGTTTTCAGCAACCTAATGGGTAATGTACTAAGTCTACCATGTATTGCGATACTGGCGTGCCAAACTAAAACTTAAGGTAGCCTTGTGTAGCACGTTCAGTTGAAGAAAAACATAAACGAGAGATTGAGTTGTATCTCCAATGAAAACCCAGTTGGCAAGCAAATGAGTGTATTTCGCTAATTTCATGTAATTCGGGTTCAATTAGAACATAAGGTTGATGGAAACTCGGGGACTGCGCCTACCTTATGGGCCCCAAGACAGGTGAAACTGGTCATGGGCTTCGAGTGGTTTTCATTAACCTTGTAAGTAGTGCATTACTTCTATACAGCGATTAAAAGTTCTGCGGTTTACAATGTTTAGGAGATCATCTTGCTTTGTAGAGTAGTTTTGGTGAAGCAAGTATCGAGCCCTCTCCACGACTTTTAAGCTTTTCCTAGGTCTTTCCACCGTATATCAACGTGTTACCACATTGTGGTTCTTCCAAACAGTCGAACTATTGGTCAACTTCCTGACAATATCCCATGTTACTAATGACCAATGTCGATGCTTCGCGAGCTTCGCCGCCATACAGCCATGTCGGCGCAGTTGGTTTAAAGCCATCCAAGCTTTGCGAATGCAGCAAGTTTGGTGATACTGCGTTCAGATCACATTCGACTTGAAAACTAAGAGTGAACTTTCTTACAAGTGTACAGACAATTATACCGTTTATAACGCCATACACGAAGCTCTACGTTTATTAATAGCGCATCGTTTCCGAACAACGCACACATGCTTTGTTTCTATACCTTCCCTATTCGTGTAGGTGTCCGTTGATAGTTCACATTTTTCTGTTTTCCACGTGACCTACAATCCATCAGGAACCAATAGCTTCTAACGAGAAACTTGCAACCGGTCGGTTTAAAACATTGGGGAAACCTAGGTATATTTTTTCTTTCTACTGGGTGATCACCGGTTCATTCTGCTTGGACAAAGCTTGCACCATAGCAACTTACCGTCACTAAGTTTTTGTTTCCGCTTACTATGTATCCGCCATCGGTCGTGCACACAGCTATTGTACCGTCCTTTCGTTCCAGTCTGGTGGACAAAGATAAAGCGTTCTGCTTATGTTGTGTTGGAGCCGACGTACTGTTGCTGTGTTACCTTCACAGAATCCACCAATGCCCTACCATAAACCAACCTTTTCTACCAGTTGATTTGATTGAAATGATGTCGCGGTTTTGACAAATGCACTTATCCGCATATCAACTGGGCTTTCATGGGAGACTATTGATACTTCAACTGAATATACTGCACCAAAGTCGCCTCATGTTTTACTTGCTACGATATTTGAGATATCACAGTAGTGATACTGTACCACTGTTTATCTTACTTTTGAATTTGAAACGTTCCAAATGGGAGAAGTTTCACCATCATTATTGGTGTCCGTTACCGCAGAAGTGAATAAATCTTAATGTGCCCTAAGAAGAGCGAAACAACGGCCGGCTGTCGAGGAGTTTTCAGCAACCTAATGGGTAATGTAGTGAAAACCTAGTTGATATGCAGATGAATGTATTTGTTGAGATCTTTCCAATTTGGGTTCAAGTAGAACATAATGTTGACGGAAACCCGGGGACTGCTCCTGCCTGATGAGCTCGAAGATGGGCGAAACCTGGTCATGCGTTTTCGAATAGTTTCCAATAACCTTGTGGGTAGTTTCCTTTATAAAATCCTGATTGTTTTCTTGTGAGTTGATCATCCCGCGTCTCTGACAGCCGGATATCACGAAACGCTTGGGTGCTGTCGGTGCTACTCGCCTTCCAGGATGGGGACTGCGTGATCCTCACTGTGCCTGGTTGGAGGCCTTACAATATATGGTTGCCAACCGATGTCAGTGACGTTCTTGTTGTCAGTTTTTATTCAGATTGCCTGAGTGAATGTCTGGAGGTGTAGGCACCTCGGAATGATTGTGGTAAGCTAGCATTACGTCGCTTCCCTGTTCACCTTTACTCTTTTCTTCACAATAAGGCTTTCAAATAAATCATGGTTGTACGGCAGTGAAGCATTGGTGTTGAACACTGATGTCATGCTGTCGATGGTGATGCTGATGATGACAGCCGGAACGTGTGCATCATTGTCACCGCCATTGTTGTTCCTTCAGACCCCTACCCTGGTTTTCATTTCCTCCTTGAGAACACGGTTCAACCAAATTACACTCAGTGGCCACTCTCGAATGCAGACCCACCAGGTCAGACTGGTCCCTCATGCAGGAGAGATCATCCGAACCATGAGTTTCATATTATAGCCGAATAGTTCTTTTCATTTTCTTAGGTGGTACGTGCTTCATGTATTATATGCAGTACACGATACGTATATTTTACTCTCTCTATTTGCTTCCGCTTGAAATGGGATTCTCTTACAGGCAATAAACCAAAGACCTTACTACCTAATGGATTCCAGAAATCTCATTAAGCGAAATACTATGCGACCTCTCTTGGGTCCTAAATTGAGCTTTGTTCCAACTGTTATTCATCTCTTTGAATCCTTAGGTTTTTCGCCGTTACCAAAGGACCTACATTAAAGTAGGTTCTTTGGTAAACTAGTTCTAGTATAGTGGTCAACTGCCATACGTGTATTCGAACTCAATTCAGCATCTACTCGTGGTCATGTACGTCGTTAAAATACACATCCAGAGTTTGTAATTAGTTAAACCTAGCCTTACCGTTCGCTACCTTGGTACTCTTCCTTGCTTGCATCATCAAGATAATTGGTTTGTATTTACCTTGAGGAGCTCACTTCATAACCGGTACTAAAGTGCATGGTAAGGAGAATTCGGTTGCAGCGAGGACGATAATCGACACTGTTTGCCAGTATGATTAAATGGTGTACGAACTAGCTTCGGTGAACAGCAAGTGAAAGTCCTTTGGTTTCACTCATTTGAATGATATTTTAAGCCCTCTGTCAACAGCTCAACGGTGTCCCGTAACGTTTTTCCAAACTGTGCTCACTTCACCTTCGAGGGGCAGGAACATCTTGTTTCCCATGAGGTAACTGTCTTATCTGGATCATTTAAACGTATCGGTAACTACTTGACTGAGCTCTAGTCGAGTGATTAAGCTCACAATACTTGTAACTGTCTACCAGAATAGCTAACCTAACCACCGTTGATCTCGTACTGTGTGGTATGATATTGTGAGAACTACGTCTTGGGGTTAACCAGCAGAGGTGAACTTAATCTGTTTACGTTCCTCACAGCCGAACATACACCAGATGACTTGCCAAATTGTGTTCACATTCCCCGATTTCTGATAAAAAATTGGGTCCTTTTTAGGTGTATGAGGTCACGAATTTCCTTTTTGTGGCTTGGCATTTTGCACATCGATTCAATTGTGTAGTTTGCTGGACTGGGGTGAAGTGATCCCTCAGAAGAGAAGGTCCCGATTGTGGGGCCCAGTGTGTACGTTTCTGAGCAGATTGCGTGCGGAAATTCGCTGAATGGAACTAAAGTTTTGTTTCAATGGACCTCGATAAGCAGCCCTTTTTGGGTATGAAACCCAACAGCCGTAACTGTTGTATACGTTTTTCTTTAATGTTAACGGACTTTACCTTAAATTGGATTGGACCAATTTCCTATAGAACTCTTGGAATGTGTATGTCCCGCCAAGTTCCACATTCAACCCCTAATGAACAATAAGCCAGATTAGTCACACCTACCATTCAACGGTAAATTGATCATAACTAGATCTATGTCGAATTTTGAGTGCGTTATCGTCACCCATGTTGATGTGCTTTCGTTTCTGTTGCTATGAGTGAGAAAGCGCTCCATCGTAGTAAAGATGAATACGGGCAATTCCTCTGCTAATTTGTTGTGCGCAGTGTTATTCGAGTTCTGCACATGTTTCTTATTTCCTAATCTAACCATTTCATTTTAGTCATATACAGTAGCGTCTGTTGTCTATAGCTTTCTCAGGTGATGAAAACTAGAAGCATTCATGGAGCCTTTCGAAAGCAGGTGGAAGGCGGATCCGAAACTTCACCAGTTGAGATTATACAGCAGGCTAATGCCCTATTATTCAAACTCCTCCAGCCTGGAGGTTCGCATTTGCTGAACTTCGATGTTAAGTACTGACCGAACCAGGCAATAAGCGCTAAGTGCCACCGTGTTCTACTTCTTTTTTTATGAGCACGGTTTCTCTTTATTCAGTGCTACTATGGCACTGTCCTCAAGCGCCTCCAATCTCCTGCTACATTTTCACAGGTTTTACACCCATAATCGGAAATGACTCCCATATGGATAGCCATACGACTTCTCACCGTCCTATCCCTGTGCTTCCGAATGGCGGAGTGCAGCTACCCGCGCGGTATGATCCTACCGCGCCCAATAAACCATCGCTTTCAGATTTGGATAACGAGGACACAGTCACACCATATGCTAGCGTTCCCGTCATGCAGCAGATGGTGGCCTTCGATCGTGTCGCCAATGCGACCACCAGTGCTAACTTAGCGGCTACAAAACCAAACACCATCACAGACCACATGGGTGTTGTGCAACCCTCACTGGCACCTGTTGGTCGGCAGCTGTCTCTTGCCGAGATTATCCCTCCACCACCTGACTACCCACCTCCTTCAGTTCCATCTAGTTCGCCGCCACCACCAGCACACTCAGATCGTCAGACGCCCATGGTTTGGGCTCGAACAGCTGCTACCGCGGCTGGTGGATCAGGAAGCGGTGACGACTCGGCCTACTATGCACCACACCAAGCTCTCTCCCAGCAGTCGAATTTCAAGTCTTCCACCGACACAAGTCAACACCGAACTCCACCTCATTGGTCCTGTAGCCTTCCTGCTTCTGATGAGAGTGCGACAGCTCTTCTACCTCTCCATACCTCTCCATACCAGGATTCTAAATTGATGGTTAGTGGAGCGCATCCGGTGATGTTGTCAAGCGCGGAATATCAACTGAATAACCACGGTAGGTCATGATTACTTTTCATTGTTGCGCTAGGTTTTCATCCGGATGATAGAAAACAGTTTTAATGCTTTTGCCCTCTTACGATGTTGTGTGGCTGACTGTTTCCTATGAACGAAGTGGAACCAAATTCCTGTGTAGTGAAATGCTGTTTTGCAACATGGAGCTATTTGAGCGATACTGCTTGCGTCGTCCAGTCAACACCCGATGTATGCACTACATCACATTTCAGATAGGTGTGAATTACTCATATAAGCATACGTTGTTTCCGTTCAGTACTCTTCTTGTCACAAGTTGGTGCTGCAGGCTCTTTGCAGTGAAAAAAAACGCTGGATGGGGATGTGGAAGAATCGTACAAACTAGTCTCTCCAAAAATAATCTGTTCTCGGGGCGAGCTGGCTCAATGGTTAGAGCGCGAATTTACTGACCGGAAAGTCCGTGGTTCGAACCCGACCTCTGCCTGTCGAATCCCCTCGTCTAGGCTTTGACAGCCTAGCAGTATCCCAGCCCCCGTGCTTCCTTTGGGTGGCATGGTATTTAGGCATCGAAAGGATGCTGCAACTGAGCGCCTTGTTACCGATGGAGCATTACTTAGCCAGATTCGTCTGTTATAATCTACAGGTTCCAATTCATGTAAAATCGGATAGACTTCAACTGGGAACTCTTATCCTTTGGCAACACATTCTAGTGCCCAAAATCCGTTTTATTCCTATTGCATCCGAGCTTTTTGGTCATTGTGTTTCTGGTACAGACAGTTAACCTCTTCCAGGTACCGTGACATAGAAATTGACCATCATTCATAGACAGCCCTATGTTCTTAATGGGCAAACGTACTGGTGTTTAATGTGTTTCACATTATCTCAGCTGTCGCAGAACTATTGTAATGTGGACGTGGATTGTCCCACAAGTCGACACCAAGAGGTTGGTAGCAGAACCAAATCTCACGCCACTCTGGACTCACTGGTTGCGCATGTCGAAGCTCATTCTTATTGTTTGCCTTCTAGTCATCTGTGCTATCCACACCATCATCGCATTGTAGGCGCACTTGAACCGACCTCTGTTCTTCGGGAAAGATACTAGTTGTTCTGACTGTTAAGCCAGTCTTGGTGTTCCGTTGTTTGCGTTCTCCACAAGCTTTCTTACCTCATCCCTCTTCCTTACTCAGTCCATTGGCTACCGCACCACAGGTTCGTGTAGGTCGCTTATTGTTTACTTGCTTTAGCACCAGCATCCGAGGGAGCGAAATGAGCTTCTTTGTTGACTCTGAACTTGCCATCTGGAAATCATTCCTAATTGACTGTGAATCTCGTATTCAGTTTATTCGTTTGATAAGCCCACTTAGTATTACCAGCCTCAACCCTGGGGTGGATGTTTATTCTGGACAGGGTTTACCCTCCAAGCGATATCCTTCCGAAGGCGGTTCACCCCCCCCCCCCCCCCCCCAAAATAGTACATACGCCTTCCTGAAGATAGACCAAATCCACTTTTCCTGCCTCGGTGAATTTTCTCGGTGGAATGCGCTATTTGTTGCGCCGAATGGTTGGAGAACATGCGGAGCAGCGAAGACTCAAGTTCGTCGTTTGGACTGCCTGCTTTCAACTTTTAGCGCCACGATTGGTGATCTCAGTGATCGAAAACCAACCAATAAAAGTTTCCCGTCGATCAGTGACTTCCATCAAAAGCGGTTTTGCGGCAGACTGATGATAACTTTATCTTAGTTCCTTTGTACACAAACTGTGACGTGGATATAATGGGATGTTCTTCCAGTTTTTGCCACGGTTCTTTCTGTCTCGTATCGCTTCTAGCGGGTTGAGCCTATTCCTTTTTCATGATCACGATATAATTTTAGTTGTGGCGTCAGTCTGTCTGTGCTGCGCCTCGCATCTATATGCCTAAAGGCCTCTGTGCGCTGCAGAGGGCAGCTGTGGTCGTTCTCTTTAATGCCACTCCTTTATCCGTACAGTTCTTGCGTGAATGGCAACGTATGTTGATACTACTCAAAAGCGGAACCGTTTCTGTCAGGAGCTAGTAATTGCATGGCGTGGACGGTTCAGTTACTCATTTTTCAGCAATAGGAAAGGTGCATAAAACTCGTCTGATTTGCTAGTCTGACACATCTACATATTGAACAGGGAACTCCATACACACACACAAACCAACTACTAAAAGAATGATTGAACTGCTCTGTTCTTGGACTGTATCAGTGCTCTGCAGTCGGATGGATATCAGAGGCTCTATTCCTAGAGACATAAAGCAAAAACAAATTGGGTTTGTGGAGTTTCCAGCACACCCCGCTTGCTCCATTCGCTTGAGGTCTGCTGGTTGGCTGTTATCATGTTCCAGATCGATTTTGAATGTACAGTGCAGTCATTCTACTACCGAAGTGTCTTAGATTCACTGGACTTTCCTTTGCAGCAACTATTGAATAAGGCAAGCGGTCACCGCGTGTCGGCCTTAAAACTTTACCCCAGGTCAGTTCTTAGAAAAATAAGCGTCAATCCGTAGTCTTCGGGTGTAAGCGTTCACGTTGGACTTTATTTTATCCACAAATCCCAAGAACCGATCAGGAGAATGACCTGCCTCCTCACTCAGATCAACTGGCTAAACTAGCAGACACCGTGCTTATTGATACCTAACAAAGTTCTCCCTCCATTTATGTCACCTCACTCTCGCATTCCGTTTCTCGGTTCAGTTCGATGTAAGTACGGAGAGTTGAACCTATGTAGAAGAATGAATTTGTGTGCACCTTTTTTCGTTTGCGACAAACCTGATGCGCGCTTTTCATCCTATACGGTGACTAAAAGTATCGAAATTTCGCCGTTATTTAACTACAGAGTCATGTTATTCGTTTGAAACAGTCTATCCCCATCAGAGTCTGTTTTGAGCTTCAACCGTTTCGTTTTCTCCGGTCACCCCATGACTCATCTCCCCCCCCCTCTTTATCGGTTCGCTCTTTATCTGACGGTTTGTTCCGCCTCACTCACTCAAAGACTGGTCTGTTCCCATTCGCTGGACTGTGATCGAAGTTGACCGCCGCCGGCGTTTGTTCTGTCTCGCTTCCTTTTTCGGAGCGCAGTCTTCCGTGCAGCCTGTGTGAAATGTCACAAACAACATTCGGATAAGATATGATCAGTGTTTTGGCGAGCTCTCAGAAGTTCTGCCATTGTGGTGGTTTCAAATCCCTGGCTAGTATGCGTCGGGTTTCATCTCGACATACACCCACACAAGATTCGTTTTCCCTTAGTTTTGTTGCTTTTAGGTGACATTTTGTACGCACACTGTCTTTGGTACCACCCAATCGCAACTGGGGACTACGCCATCCCATGGGAGCACGGGCGGCTGATGTGCGCGAGAATATGCTAACGTTTTATATTTTTGGTTACGGTGTAGCAGAGCATCATATGATATATTGTTCTTGTGATGTATTGCTGACTGAGTTGTTTAGTTCCCCCCTGGGTCCGCTGGATTCACAGCTGTTGCTGCTTTCATTCAGACCACATACTCCCTATGATCCGTTCTCTCCTGATTCTTTTTCTGTTCGGCTTAACTACAGTACTTAGCATGTTCTATAAAGTGTATGTTTTTTTCACTATGGGCACTCCAGTCTTTTCGTTGCTTAGTCCTCAAACGTGCCCCACCTTCACCATTAACAGGAGTGCATGGTCCGTTAATGACGTCTGTTGCTACGTTTCCTCTAGTCCACATTGAATCGCGTCTGCAGTTTGATAAGGTGAACTGTTGTACTTGTGACTGCGCCATCCCGCTGGGTTTGTCTGTTCCTATCTGTGCGTGCACCCAAGGTAACGAAGGCTGGTAAACAAATGTATTAATTGGCCAGCCATCCAGTCTTGTTGAGATCTGTGTGTTTACTATATGATACGAAACACAGCTTGGTGTCCAGATCCTGGTTGTCAGCTAGCTTCGAATGGGCGTTGGTTGATTTTTAGTCTGCTCGTTTTAAAGAAAACAGTGACTACACATGCCAGCACTGCAAGGTGTGATTCACAGGCCATGAATGCACTTTGTGATGGACGTTCCTTTATAGTTCGATGCCTCTGTTTCGCTGTTTTTCCAATAACCCAATACTACTTTACTCCGTTTCATGTATTTTTCTCTTTTCATTAGTTCTTGATCCTGGGTGTCTTGACGTCTTTGGGTTGTTGTACCCTTGGAGAATTGAGTTGAAGATCTCTGGATATCGAACTTGTTTGGCGTTGAGGAAATTGTATGGGGAAACTAGGTATCCTGTTCTGGTAGAGTGAAGTCTTAGGCGAGAGAGTGAGATAGACCAGCAACATTCTCATAGGAGCTTACATTTTTCCACCCACTTGGCATATGCGCATCGCTCACAGCGTGAGTTTTGACACAGCCAGGGAGCAGTGGTGATGTGGCGGTAACAAACGTGCATCGCACGCTATTGATCCAGTGTTTGTGACCCGACGCGACCAAGGATTTACTGCAACTGAGATCCGATGTAACCGAAACTGGCCTCCAGTCCTTCACTGCTCTGACTATTGGTCCTTCCAACATACAAGAAGAGCTGTTCAAATAATGGTGGCGTGATTATGGATTCTGTGAATTCCTCAACTATTCATTCGTGTCAGTCCCGCGCTTCATTCGTCGCACAGAATCCCCTCGTTGGTGCGTAGGTTTCTGTGAATCACCGACTAGACGATAGTGTTCTGCCGGTGATCGGGTGAATATTTTCAGAGTCCCTATCGGCATATGTGTGGCAGATTACTCCCTCAGTTAACATCAGTGTACTGTTTCGTAATAAAGGGGTAATCACTGAATAGCATCCTGAATTGGGTTCGGCGACCCTTTCCTTCAACTTGATCATTGTGGACTGTAAGCATCAACATACGTTTATCATTTGACTCAGGGGCTTTGGAGGGCTATTAGTCAATCTTGTCCGTGTGCAACTTAGCGTTTCTTAGTTTTGCTGCTCTTCGAAGAGGAACATGGCGAATGATGGTTAGTTGACCAACTGTGGCTCGCATTCACGCAAATGCTTCTGCCGGTTGGCCGTATGAGCTTTCACCTTTGAGACGACTTCGCCAGCCCTAAGTTTGTCGCACTTCGGCTCATACGGTTGTTGTCGTTCTTTTTGTAGTCCTTCCATCTCATGGGAAAATTGTCAACGATGCGTTGCTGCTACGTTTGTTGCTTACACACTAGTTTAGGACGATTCCCACTTAAGATTAATCAGATATAACGAACTTCCAGGTTTTTCAACACAAGCTGACAGCTCTATCGAAACTTTAGCTTCTCCTCACCACTTGCATTACTATTTCGTCGAAGACAATCATAGCCTGGTTGATTGCTCAGCGATCGTTGGGTCCCGCACAGTCTCTCCTGTAGAACCGCCATTCATCCGGGAAGACTGTCAACATTTTCCTGGAAAGGTAGAGTATGACATACTTGACTAGTGTTCGGTTCATAATCTCTCAATTAGAATTTGTATAGGAGATGGTCTGTGTAACATATCAGAGATTGCTGTTTCTCAGCTGCAGACCTCAATACAATCGCTGGTAAAGGTTGAATG